CTCTCAGATCAAATCAAACTAACATGGGTAAGAATTAATGACCTACAAAGTGAAAGTGGCTGGCGGGATGTTGATCATGTCACCCATGGAGAGCCGATCAGCCCACAAAAGTATAGATCTAGTACTCTATACTAGGTGTGACAAGGGGTCAAAAGGTCCTTCACTTCTGTTGTTACTGTTAGATTTGTGTTGCTGGGGCCTGTAAAGGAAGCAGAGAATAGTAATACAGTAACTTAATGATGGATTTCATGAAAGATAATTAAGTAGTTTTGGAGTGAGACACATTAGATCATTCTGTAAGTAAAATTAGTTGCATCCCTTTAAGGAGTTCACAGAATCAACATTGGTAATTTTTTGCTGTTTGTGATTTCACTAGGTCAGTGTATCCTAAACTTGTCTTGGTCGCGGCGCCTTTTTTCAATTAAAATTTTTCCACGGCGCCCTAAGTAAAAGTATGACTATTCATATGTAAGAGATTAAAAAACTTGGGTATCTTTGAATATTTCATCGGTGCCCCTGTGAAGAGGTCACGGCTCCCCGGGGGGCACTGTTTGGGGATCACTGTACTAGGCAATTTTATGTTCATTAGTTTACCATTACTTAATGAAACACAACATACAGCATGAGATTGGAGGGAGAGGCAGGCCTCAGGATCTCTGAGATAAACATTATGACTCCTTTCAACAAGGCGATCTTTATAATTTATATTTAGTCAATGCTCCAGAATTGCTACCCATGTGGATTCCTGGGTCCCATTTATTGATTGGGGGGGGGGGGAGGAGGGGGGTTCGAACTACAGCTCCCTGACAAGTGTTCATAAAGGTGACTAGACGTTTACTGAGATTAGTTTTTCCGAGCCAAAAGTTGCAGATTCTAGCTTGCAAAATACAGTTGTGCTAATCACCCATTGTTGGTAATCAATGACCCACATTTTGAACATCTTGGGTCATTGATTACCAACAATGGGTGACATTAAAGAAAGTAAACGATGATTATCAATTGCTCTTCAAAGACTAAAACAACTAAATAAATTATGAAGTGGCAGACAGAACTACAAAAATATTTCTAAGAGCATGCATCTTTCCCATTGCAACAGATGCCTGTGCGACCTGGACAATTACTAAATAAGCTGAACAGCGTATAAATGTCTCTGAAAACAAATGTTATAGATAGGTTCTAAGAAAAACATAGGTAAAGAAAAGAACAAATGCATATATACTTCAAGAATTGAATACTGTAGAAGGTTGGCTATTAAAGACAATAAAACACAAAAAATTGAAATATTTTGGTCATTTGAAACGTCACAAAAGTTTAGAGAGAACAATAATGGACCGGTATACGCCTGGGAAGAGAGGAAGAGAAAGGCTAAAGAGAAGATGGGTGCAGGATGTGGCGGATGATCTCCAGATGGGTGTATTGGACGCGGGACATCTTGCTTGTGATCGAGCTTTCCCGAAGGTTGTTATGGGAGCAAGGTTCAGCAAAGGATATACTACTGACTGACAGAATCACCCTTTAAAAGGCATACAAAGAAGAAGAAGAGGAGAAGGTGGAAAAAAAGAAGAAGAAAAAAAAGAAGAAGTAGAAACAGCAGTGTCAAAAAGATCATTCTGAATATTTCTCAAGTGAGTACTTAACATTCATCACACTTTTTGTGTGGGTGCAAAGCAGAAAGTGAAAGTAAATTTAAGTATTCAGCAAGCAATTATTATATCTAAAAGAAATCTGGCAACATTTGCAACCCATTATTTGCCACAACAGGTGTAAATGTTGCATAACGTATAAACGACACAGATGTTTAAACATCATACTATGTATAAATGCAGCACACAAAATAAAATGCCACATATTTTTTTAATAGGAAGAATTCATCAGGCAAAAATCACACATGGTAAAGTAAAATCACAGAAGCAGAGCTAAAGTGTTTCAAAACACTGTCAATATAAACATAACATGGCCTTCAAATTATTATATCTTAACCGAATCAGACACATTTAACACTACTAATAATTAGATGCTCTCACACCAACCAGGCACCTTTTGACACCGCTTCATAAGTACTTGTATTTTAATCTCCTCATAGAGCTGCGAGCACAAAGTTGTGCACTTTATTATTATAATGTTAGTTAATTAATTGACCAATTATCCTTAGTACACAGCAGACAAGCCCATAAGTGCTCAGATCCCATCTTTAGTATATCTCCCCAGGGTGTGTTCACCAATAAGACCAGTTCTGCCTTGGTTTACTATTCTTCTTTGGCTACCTGTATAGTTTACATATCTGGCAATAGCTCTTTTAATCTGAAATTCTTGTAGTCTTTTTAATGTTGCAGCTTTCTCCTCTATTACACTCTTCCTGCTAGTGCTAGACTCCTGATTTCATCACTCAGAACTGCTTGTTATCACTTTGTTTCCTCAGGCAACGTGTGATCCTTTACAGACAATATCACATTTCTCTTGCTCAAGGTTAGTGTTCCTGCTGGATTCAAGAGACATAACATTTCTAGATACCTATCAATCAATGGATACCAGGAGGGAAGAAAAACGGAGCATACGATGAGCAAAACCCTGGAGGAAAACAAAGGAAGCACACACACACAGCAAATCTCGGGAGGAAGACAAAGGTGGTACACTGTGCAAATCCCATGCACACACACACAAAAGGCAGCATGTACACTCAGAAGGATAGCACAAAACTAGATCTGAAAGAAATATGGCACAAAACTAGATCTGAAAGAAATATGGCACAAAACTAGATCTGAAAGAAATATGGCACAAAACTAGATCTGAAAGAAAAATGACACAATACTAGATCTAATAGAAATATGGCACAAAACTAGATCTGAAAGAAATATAGCACAAAACTAGATCTGAAAGAAATATGGCACAAAACTAGATCTGAAAGAAATATGGCACAAAACTAGATCTGAAAGAAAAATGACACAATACTAGATCTAATAGAAATATGGCACACAACTAAATCTGAAAGAAATATAGCACAATACTAGATGCAATAGAAATATGGCACAAAATTAGATCTGAAAGAAATATGGCACAATACTAGATCTAATAGAAATATGGCACAAAACTAGATCTGAAATAAATATGGCACAATACTAGATCTTAAAGAAATAACACAGGAAATCAGATCTAAAAGAAATGACTATCCAAAACTAGACCTACAATGATGTAATTAAAAACGTACCTGGATAATTTCAATACATTCTGTTAAAAGAGATCATATACACTGTACAATAAAATGCCCACAGGACAGCAAGGCAATACCTCAAGAAAACTTCTTGATATTTTATGGTGGAAGATTCTATAAACATACATGATAAATACAGACAATTTGTCAAAACTTCTATGTATCCTACACTAAAATGTTCTATGAACATCATGTAATAAGCAAAAGCAACTTCTCAAGAAAACTTCTCTAAATCTTATGCTTAAAAGATTATTTAAGCATAAAACTAATGAACTTTGCCTCTTCTTTATTGTTCACAGCATACTTATACTAGTCAGAGCATTAGTTTCCAGTGTTGGTTTCACAGCCTCATTCTGGAGGGGAAAAAAGAATACACCCACTCTTCCCCAAACAAACAAACAGTGCTGTTGCCATGAACTGTGCAGGTCAGGATGTTTAATTTTGCCACTGACATAAAAACCACATCACCTTACCAGGGATCAAACCCGGGCCTACCACATGAGAGCCCAAGCTAACAGCTGCTTCTCCTTCCTAACAAGTATGTTGTAAAAGCTAACTAATCAGGGGCGTTTTCTTTGAAATCGCAGTGCATCTGTCTGAGAAGCGAGGAAACAACAGTCACATACAAATAAGCCAGATTTGTAGAACTGATATGCATGCAAAACTCAAATTCCGGAACAAGACTAAAGTCCAGAAGAGGATGAACAAACATTTTTTGTGGAGTAAATATAACCATATCCACCACGTCTACCTACTATGCAGCTGCAAACAGTACCAAAGATATTATACAGACACAGTGACCACTACCAAAAAACGCCGTGTCATAAAAACCCTTAAAAGTAGAAAAACCAGCTTTCTCGGAGACACAGGGTTAAAAAAACATTGTGCACAGTAATCAATACATGTGAAGTAGGTTGCCTGGAGCTGTATGAGTTAACTTCCACAACAATCATCTCAGATTCTGCATGCTGTCTGTCAGTTTAAAAATCCTGATTCTCCACTTGTGTTAATTTACTGTGCTCAAACTTGCAGACAGTGAGTGAAATATGTCATTTATTACCCTTTTTACAGTATTTAAAGTCTAGGGTTAGGCACAAGTAAGAAAATCAAAGTCAAAGTTTTGAGAGCATGCATCTTCCCTGGAGCAACATATGGATGTCAGTTGTGAACTATCTCCAACTCCTTGAGAAAGAAAACGGGCTTTTGTGCTAAAATGCTAGATTCTCACAACACCAAGGACAAAGAAAACAAAAATACTGACATCCTTAAAGATCTGAACATCCTTAAAGATCTGAACATCCTTAAAGATCTGAACATCCTTAAAGATCTGAACATCCTTAAAGATCTGAACATCAAAGAAGACTGGCTAATAAACAGCATCAGAAATTAAAATTTGTTGGCTATATCAAGATTCACAGCAGACTGAAAAAAAAAACTGCAGAGGACATGGTGGCGGGAAAGAGGGGCAGGGGTAGATCAGCATGTAGGTGGGGAAAAGGATATAAATGATAGCATAAGCAGGAAAAGTGCATGAGGCAGAAGAGGTGGCAGAGGTGGCGAGAGACTTTCTTACAGGCAAACGGTTATGAGAGCGATATTATGCAAATGACCTGCTACATAACATAATCCTTTTCAATCATTTCACTGACTATTTTCAAACTTTAAATACAGACTTTGAAACAAAACAGATTATGACACTGGGAGAAGAATGTATCACCTGGCATGTATCTCTTCCATGCTGATACAGATGTTTAGTAATAATAATAATAATTCTAAACATGCAATAAGAGAATCAACTTGGGAGGTCATCATCATCAAAATTTTGTGACAATAAAAAGTTTGCAGCGAGGTCTTCATTTTTGTCACATGCAAAGTAAGCCTGGATACACATGGCCTCTGGGAAACCGAGGGCTTTCAACTGTGGAGAAAGTACAACAGACATCTTGTAGCAGGATTACACAAATAAAATATAGGAAACAAATTAAATCAGAGGATATGAATGGCTAAAACTATCTATCAATATCTATTAATTACTGACTTCTTGCCTATTGATGTAGGCATTTGAACCGTCACACCAGGTGGAAATTCGATCAAATTTGTTGTGCACTGTGCTGGCGATCTCCCGTCTGTGGTATCCTTGTCGATATTTCAAAGTATCATCAGCAAATGACAAAGTCTTTCCCTTTCCATCCAGTTGCTGCTCAGTGAATCTCACCGCATACATACTGAACAAGACTAGTGTCAGTGGTGAGCCCTGCAGCAAGCCTGGACATAATCATTTGCATTTCTGAGGACCAACTGCCACATCTGAGCACTACCTTTCTCTGGAACAGGGCCGCAGGAATCCAGCAGATAAGAACACGATCTACTTCTAGTTTAGGCTACAGGTGTATTTGATATTCTTACAGTACTTTATTGTAGGCATCTTCTAAATCTTCCGTTGCCGCACATGTCTCTTATCTGGTCTGAAATCATTTGTAAACTTCGTAAACAAAGACTGCAGCATTGAACCAAGTCTCTTTATTCAACCTGTACCCTCCAAGTGTGGGTGGGAATTTATCGACCAGTTCCAGGTCATTAGTCATCTTTATCTGACAATTTTCTCCAAATGTTTGCCTACAGCATTATGCATCAAGATTTTCTGTAGCCACCGATCTTTGAGTGGTCTTTGTTCGGCTATGGCAGGGGGAACAAATAACTGGCCACTTTTGATGCTAATTTTGAATTTTCTTGCCACGCTCTTCATATCCGATATCATTAGCATGTCGTCGTATTGGATGCTATCAGGGCCTGGAGCAGTGCAGTGTGATTTCTTGAGGCAAGTTCGTAAGGTATCTCCAGTGACTGTATAATCAGCACCAAGCGAGTTCTCGCACAGCCTCATCTTTCTGGTCAGTTTGCTCCAAGTAGCGTGCACAAATCTATAAATGTTATCATATTAATTAGATTTTAAACTGTGGATATTACAAACTGCATTTGAAAACAAAAAATATCCTTGGCTTTTTGTTTTATAAAGTTCTACAAAACATTTTATTATTTTGTTTATAATTAAGCTGATAAAATAACTGACGAATTATTACAAATGCACTCAATTTCAAAACTGTTTGATGCCCCCTTTGAAACCTCTTCGCGCTTCGCAGTTTGGAGACCACTGCGACCTAGAGAGATCAACTGCAGCTCATCTTCCTTAAGGTTTCACTCTTCTATCAACTGCTTTCTATTAAAACACACAGTTAAATCAAGCCTCACAAATATAACTCCTAACTGTTTTTTCTTCTGCGTGTTTCACAGGGGTAAACTTTTGCAGAAAGTTCTGATCATTCAACTACTTGAACTTGGTCTTATTCCAAGACTTGAGTGTTTGACGCACATCTGTTTTCGAGATCTGGCTTATCTGTGTGCCGACTGTTGGTTCCTGGCCTCTCGGGAAGATGCATTCACATCTCAAAAGGAAACAGCGAGCCTAGCTATGTTGCTTTAGGCTCCTGGTTGAGAACCTGTTTCTAGAACGACCATGCAGAGATGTGTCAGGTAGGCTCCTGGTTAAGAACCTGTTTCTAGGACGACCATGCAGAGATGTGTCAGGTAGGCTCCTGGTTAAGAACCTGTTTCTAGGACGACCATGCAGAGATGTGTCAGGTAGGCTCCTGGTTAAGAACCTGTTTTTTAGGACAACCATGCAGAGATGTGTCAGGTAGGCTCCTGGTTGAGAACCTGTTTCTAGGACGACCATGCAGAGATGTGTCAGGTCTTGTCCAGTAAGAGCCCTGGTCCTAATGTATCGCCACAAGTGGGTCAGCACCTCTCCATTCCTCTCATCCTACCAAGTGCTTTCTTCTCAAACACACAACTAACTCAAGCCTCACAAAAATACATGCAGCTCTTACCCTATCAATCGCCTGCTTCTCAAACACACAACTAACTCAAGCCTCACAAACATGCAGATCTTACCCTATCAATCGCCTGCTCCTCAAACACACAACTAACTCAAGCCTCACAAACATGCAGATCTTACCCTATCAATCGCCTGCTTCTCAAACACACAACTAACTCAAGCCTCACAAACATGCAGCTCTTACTCTATCAATCGCCTGCTTCTCAAACACACAACTAACTCAAGCCTCACAAACATGCAGCTCTTACCCTATCAATCGCCTGCTTCTCAAACACACAACTAACTCAAGCCTCACAAACATGCAGCTCTTACCCTATCAATCGCCTGCTTCTCAAACACACAACTAACTCAAGCCTCACAAACATGCAGCTTTTACCCTATCAATCGCCTGCTTCTCAAACACACAACTAACTCAAGCCTCACAAACATGCAGCTCTTACCCTATCAATCGCCTGCTTCTCAAACACACAACTAACTCAAGCCTCACAAACATGCAGCTCTTACCCTATCAATCGCCTGCTCCTCAAACACACAACTAACTCAAGCCTCACAAACATGCAGCTCTTACCCTATCAATCGCCTGCTTCTCAAACACACAACTAACTCAAGCCTCACAAACATGCAGCTCTTACCCTATCAATCGCCTGCTTCTCAAACACACAACTAACTCAAGCCTCACAAACATGCAGCTCTTACCCTATCAATCGCCTGCTTCTCAAAACACACAACTAACTCAAGCCTCACAAACATGCAGCTCTTACCCTATCAATCGCCTGCTTCTCAAACACACAACTAACTCAAGCCTCACAAACATGCAGCTCTTACCCTATTAATCGCCTGCTTCTCAAACACACAACTAACTCAAGCCTCACAAAAATGCAGATCTTACCCTATCAATCGCCTGCTTCTTAAACACACAACTAACTCAAGCCTCACAAACATGCAGCTCTTACCCTATCAATCGCCTGCTTCTTAAACACACAACTAACTCAAGCCTCAGAAACATGCAGCTCTTACCCTATCGATCGCCTGCTTCTCAAACACACAACTAACTCAAGCCTCACAAACATGCAGATCTTACCCTATCAATCGCCTGCTCCTCAAACACACAACTAACTCAAGCCTCACAAACATGCAGCTCTTACCCTATCAATCGCCTGCTTCTCAAACACACAACTAACTCAAGCCTCACAAACATGCAGCTCTTACCCTATCAATCGCCTGCTTCTCAAACACACAACTAACTCAAGCCTCACAAACATGCAGATCTTACCCTATCAATCGCCTGCTCCTCAAACACACAACTAACTCAAGCCTCACAAACATGCAGATCTTACCCTATCAATCGCCTGCTTCTCAAACACACAACTAACTCAAGCCTCAGAAACATGCAGCTCTTACCCTATCAATCGCCTGCTTCTCAAACACACAACTAACTCAAGCCTCACAAACATGCAGATCTTACCCTATCAATCGCCTGCTCCTCAAACACACAACTAACTCAAGCCTCACAAACATGCAGATCTTACCCTATCAATCGCCTGCTCCTCAAACACACAACTAACTCAAGCCTCACAAACATGCAGCTCTTACCCTATCAATCGCCTGCTTCTCTTCTTGGGTGACAGAAATGTAATTAGATCCTGGAGGTGCCCGAGTCCCGCCAGCACCTACACCACCCTCCTGGTCCGACCCTTCATCTGGTTCATTCAACATTTGGACAAAACGTTCTTGATTCTGACTGATCATCTATTGAGAGAGATAATAACTGCTGCTTTTGGAAGAAGAGGACATAAATCAGTCATATATTTTTCACTAAAGAGGTGAGATGGTCTGGCCATCTGACAATATCAACTGCCAAAGAAAGCCACGCTTAAGAAATGCAACGAGTACAAAATATTGAATAAAGAATCAACATTACAGCACTCAGGACATTCCCAAAAGTGCTCCCTCGCCATCATCCTTATCAATCACACAGTTTCAGTTCTGATGGTACCTGTAAACATCTGACTGTACATTTAAACAAAACAAAAAGGAGAAGAAACATGAAAAGTGCAGAGAGCAAGTGAGAGAACACACAAAAGATGAAAAACTGGGCACTTTCAACAGCTTAAGAGAAATAAAGATAATATTGCACAAGGCACCAAAAATAGCAACAGAACACATATCCTTATATATTTACAACACCTCCTTTCCCACCCTCGTCTCCCTCTCTTGAATCCCCCCACCCACACACACACATGCACGCACGCAAGCATGCACACACTTCACTGAGGTAACTGAAGGGAAAAAAAAACATTAGAAGAATAACTGGTGCACCAAAAGTTCTACTTCTTTCTTAACTTTATTTAAATGCCATCTATCTCTTTCTGAACTATTCCTTGAATATCAATTTCTTTCTGAACTATTCCTTAAACATCAGTTTCTTTCTGAACTATTTCTAAACCATCAACTTCTATCTTAAGTTAACTCTTTCTTGACCATATACTTCTTCATTCTCAACTCCTTCTATTTCAGCTTCTTCTTTCCTAACTTTCTAAAACATCTACTTGTAACTTCTAACTTAAATTTTTAAACCATCTACTTCTAACTTAAATTTTTAAAGCCACTACTTCTTTCTTAAATTTCTATACCATCTACTTATTTCTTAGCTCACTCAATACCTTCTTGTTTCTTAGCTCTTTCTATACCATTTAATTCTTTCTTAACTCATTCTTCTTCTTCTTTTTTTTTTCAGGTTCAACAGCTGTAAACTGGTGGAAAGTTGTGGTTGTTCACCCATCTCCTGACTTATCTGTATGCAGACTCTTGGTTCCTTGCCTTTTGGGCAGTAGCATTCTGATGTCGAAGGATACTCCCAATTAGCTGACTCCTATGACATGCCTCTTGGGGAGGCAGCGGGTCTATTCTTGTTTTCCCCACATTGGGGCCCCCAGATCCTACACAGGCAGAACTATTTCTATACCATCTACTTCTTTCTAAATCATATCATCTGCTTGTTTCTCACCTGGAGAAGGCGTGGATTACTCTGACCAATCTGCTGCAGAAGCGCTGGCAGCAACTGTGGGTTTTCCTGAATTGCCTGTCGCATTCGCTGAAACTGAGGCTGTGTTCGAAGGAAAGCCAAAGGATCTTCTCCGCCAATTCCTTCTAAAGACCAAAAACACAGATATACCACATGTCTATGTTGCCATAATTGTATCTTTACTATTCCAAATATTAAAGATACATTTGCATTTCATGTGACTTGTAAATAAAACAATAAATAATACTTTTTGTTTACAGTCTCAGATGTTTGTAGCTACTGTCTGAGGGAAACAATAATGAGAACAGCAAACTCAGGTCTACTGCTTCCACAGGGATCAAATTACACACATTGTGCATCCATCTATCTAGATATTATCTATCTCTGCTTAATGCTGATCAGCGTCGTAGGCACGGCTAATGATGAGGATGGTGCACGCTCGTTAGCTTGCTGCGAGCTGATACTGTTGAGTTTCAGCAAGTTGTTAACTCCATCTATCCATCTTCTTCATGGCCTTCCTATGTGTCTTAATGTTTCCATTCTCACACTGTATACTCTCGCAACCAGTGACGCTGTCTTCATTCTGACCTGGTGGCCAAACCAATTCAGTTTTGTTTTTCAATAAATCTAATTACAGCTGTTGTTTCCACCATTTTAATAAAATCTTGTACGAATTCAGTAAATTCAAAGAAATAAGAGAAATGACTGAACAACTGCTTGTATCAACAGTTATCAGACAAAGGTGATTGTAACATACCGGGCACATTATGAGAAGTGGACAGGGAATAACCAAACAGGCACTGAAATGGGAAAGCAATGGATGAAGGAAACATGGACATAGAAGAGAAACCACTAACACACATATTGCCGAGATGCCAGGGGTGCTGGGCTGGACCGTATCCATGACAGTGGAAGGATAGCAGAGAGGAGAGAATGGAAGAGAAGATTTTAATGGGAGACCTACGCTATAACAGCCTGACATGATGATGATGTAGAAACAAATACATTGTCGGTGTTCATTAGAGACCTTGACTTGTAAAAAACATATAAAACATACTGTTCGATAAAATGAATAAGCTCCAGTTACATAAAGTGTGTTGATTGAAACAGAAAGTGGTGATACGTTTTTACTACAATAATTAAAAAACAAAAATAAGCAAATTCCAAGACGGTGGCATAAGCCAAATTTATAAAATGGATGTGCACATAATATTCAAGTTCAACAAGACTAAACACCAGAAGTGGATGAACAATCAGAACTTTCTATTGGGGTTTAAAAGGAGAAAACAATATGCTGGATAATATGACACACTTTGAGAAAATTAATAAACAATATAACTAGTATGTCTTCGCACTGGAGCCCATGAGGTCAGAGAAATAAAGGCAAGTTTAAAAAAAAAATACGTAGAAGGGAACTAAAGAGTCTAGTCAGATGGAAGAGGACATAGGGAGAGCTGCATGTGATAACAAAGAATAGGATGACCTGGTGTGGGTCTGTTGGGAGATAAAGAGCAGAAAAGGAAAACAATTAGCAAAATGTGAAGGTTAAACTCAATCCTCCAGTTGAGGTGAACAAAGAACACATTTAACAGCATTCAGGATATTCCCCCTAAGTGCTCCATTTCCATCTTCAACTGCCAGTGCTGAATTCCATTTCTGATGATATCAGTAGTACCCATTGTATGTCCGCCTCGCCTTTCCCCTGATTGTTGGGTGTCGGCCAAATTCCTTGGTCACTTCATGTTGTACCATGCTTTTTAGACCGTCATGATCTAGTTGTGCATTTGCACTGTTCACTCACCCTCAGACAACATCTAGCTTGTCACGAATCAATTTACCACCAGGTGGTACAGAACCAGCCAGTCTGTCTGCCTGCTGGTGTTCCAACATACCTGCATGTCCTGAAGAAATTATCTGAAGGGCACTAACTGAATGGGACTTAAACTTAAACTCCGACTTTAGTACACTTTCTGAGTCAGTTACAATCACAAATTCACTCGTCTACAAGATCCACAATAAAAAATATTACTTCAAGAAATATTACTCACCCTTTCTTCTTCTTTTTCACTTTCTCCAGTTACTTTAACAAAGTGTTGGAGGGAGCTGTAACGATTCTGAATGCTCTTTTCAATGTGTTGTAAAAGTTGGTCTTCATTTCTTAAAGACAGTTCTTGATGTCATCATTCCATATCTGCATGGTCTTCCCCTTGTTCTGTGTCCATTATATTTCTTAGCATACATCTATGTGTCAATAGAGATGTTAGCTGTCCCAGTACCTGGTTGTCTTTAGCATCCTGTATGCTGATTTCCCTATCGCTTCTTCTTTCTGATGCAAAAATTGACACTACATATTTAACTTCACCTTCTTTTATCTCTAATCATTTACCTAGATCCAGGAAGACCAAATACTGTTTATGATCATTTGAACATTTTGCCAATAACTTCTTTCCCAAATGCTACACATGAAGCGACGGTACAGTCACAGTTCACTGACCTTCTGGGGATAAACCTGCAAGCTGTGGTGATGAATCCGAGGCCAGCGATTCGTTGGACTCAACTTCCCCCAGACTCCTCATCGCAGGCTGACCCCCGAACCCTTCTTCATTGCCTTCATCGGGTATACCCTAAATGGAAGAAAACAAATCCACATCAAGAAGCAAGCAAACATTGCCAGAAAGAATAAATGTTTACCATTAGATATCAAAACCAAGAAAACATGAGCAACAATGATTAAAATAGGCAAACCAAATGAACAAACTTCATTTTCCAAAGGTTAAGAATAGGACATGCAGACCTGCCTAACTTCTACCCATTCGATGTCTCTCCTTTCCCACAGTATCTGTTCCACATCTCTTGGGAGATCAATCTCAAGTGAGAGGCCCTTTTCATGTCAGTGGTGCAGAGTATTAGGTATAGGGTGCTAGACATGTTTTTCTAGAGACCAATCAGCAATGAGTTGGTTACAATCAAGCCTGCTGCATTACACACTCCCCCACCTCCTGCCTACCTAAGGAGACTTCTTAATACCAATGTTAGGTTGGATCTACATAGTAGTGAAGGTCAATTATTTGAACAAATCTTTTTATTGTTTTTAATTTTACCTCAATGTAGATTTGAGCCCAAAACAAATGTTTCATTACAACAGCATCCATAGGTAAATCTTACACAACAAATAATCATATATGCATTAAAAACATATGGAACGTGTATACACATCATTACTACATGGCTAATTAGTACTCTCCCTATGTGGGTTACAAGGCCTCATCTTGATGGTGGTGGTGGAATAGAAGCATTGCCCATTAACAAGCATTTTGTATAAAGGCAATTAATTAGGGATGTCTCTGAAGTCCGACTGCATCTCTGAGAGGCGAGGGACCAACAGTATGCACACAAAAAAGCCACAACTGTTAAACAGATGTGCATGCAAAAACTTTATGTCAGAGTTTACAACTACTGAATGTGTAGAAGAAGAAGAAAATCTACTCATCATTATCTGGTCTGCGTAACAAAAACCGGGGGCATCTTACCGCCAACAGATACTCCACAGCTCGGTCTGGGTTGTTGAAACTGGCTCGCAGAGCCCGGACCACATTTTCTCGCTCAAAACCCATGGTCATCAACTGCTGTACCATGTTTTCATACGCCTGGCCAGTGACCAGATTACTTTCAGCATACAGGAGAGTGTCAGTTCGAGCCTCAGTTCCGGCTGTTGCACCAGCTGGAGCTACAGTGGCAGCAGCACTAAAAGCAATTAGAAAATAAAGTATTAAACATCATGAAACAAATCTTCTTCTTAGCGTTTACTGGCTGTAAGCTCCGGCGGAAAGTTTGGGTTGTCTACTCCTAGGCTTTGGTCTTGTTCCAAAACCTGAGTTTTGTGTTCATATCCATTTTATGGATTTTGTTTATTTGCATTCAGACTGTTGGTTCCTTGCCTCTCAGGCAACTCGACTCAAAAGAAAACACCTCTAATTAGTCGTCTTTTACAACATGGTTGTTGGGGGTCAGTCTACTCTGTCTTCCCCCACCAAATGGGGCCCCAAAACCCACACAGGGAAGTCTCACACATGAAAGTTGGCTCCTCTCTATATCTTGCTCTGATTCTACTGATAGATTGCTCTTCTTTCATCTCCTGATGGTAGATTACCACTTGTATCACTACCCACCTCTTTCTACCTTGCTTCTGACCATCTCCCTTTTATGAATTTCATGTGTTATACCTTTTAGTGTGACCAAAATATTTCCCTCTTGACCTTTTTATTTCTTTTATTGGCACTTTTTATTCTACCAGTACTGATAGATTGCTCTTCTTTCATCTCCTGATGGTAGATTGCCACTTGTATCACTACCCACCTCTTTCTACCTTGCTTCTGACCATCTCCCTTTTATGAATTTCATGTGTTATACCTTTTAGTGTGACCAAAATATTTCCCTCTTGACCTTTTTATTTCTTTTATTGGCACTTTTTATTCTACCAGTATCTCTAGAGTCCTATTTTGAACTATATTGGTTTCCCAAAACACCTATTTTTTGCTGAAAGAGGCTTTCATGTGTGAAAACTGTGGCCTAGCGGTTAGAGAAAACATCTGACAATGCAAAACTTGATGTTTACCAGGGTTTGATTCCTGTGGTGGGTGGATTAGAAACAAAGACTGTGCCACAGCATTTCAACAGTGGTATGAGAGTCACACCGTGGAAGAGGCTGGGGCCTTGTAGCAATATTCCCATAGTTAGCAGTGAGTACACTGTAGCCATCCTCAACTGTGGAGATGACAATGTTTGTCATTTGTTTTAGAAGGCCGGCTAACAACTTTAAATATAATGAAAGGTTTACATTGTCAAAGCAATGTTTGACATTGTGGATTTGAACAAAGAAGACACAAACAATAAAGTAAAGGAACCCTTTCCCCCCACATTCAGAGGAACTGGGTATATACATCTAGACCTTTACTTCATGGACCACTTGGCATTCAGTGGCTGATCTGGTCAACATCTCGATGTCCACCTTTACTTCCCAGGACTTTACTTGGTACTCATTTAAGGCTGGGTTGACCTGGGAGCCAAGTTCACTTTAGAAGAAAGTTGGGCTCAGTCAGGACCTAAACTTATGACCTTCGGATCCCCAGATGAGTGTTTAGCCACTACACCACGGCACCTCCCCCATAAACAACAGACAGCACAATTTACTGCCAGGCAGATTTCCCTTTATCTCGTCAGGTGAATAGTACAGTAATAATTGATCCAAATGAAGCAAATAAATGAATCATTCTAACTGAAACAGACAAACAACTACATTCACAATTAACTGCCTGTTTCACAAGAGACACTGCAGGTCAATGACCATTTCTTTATGTATAATTCTGGACTGAACAGGTCTATTGTCATGGCTTTCACACATCACAAAAGTCTACAGCTGGCTGAGGTATACAGACTTCTGAAATTCAAATTTAAGGATTACATTACCTTGTAGCAGTTGAAGTCTCAGCAGGTTTGTCACTCTGGACAGTTGCGGTTGGTGCAGCAGCTACAGCCCCGGTTGTGGCAGTGGTAGTTGCTGATGTTTCAGCATTAACTGGTGTCTCTGCTGGTTTAGGTGTTGCTGCTTTTGGCTGCTCAAAAAAATCAATCACGGAAAACACTGGAATTAGGAAGCGTGAGAAAGAAATGCACTTGACGTATATAGTATGTATCTCAATATGTAAGCAAAGCCAACGATAAAGACAAGAAGTTAACAAATGCTAACTACAAAAACTAGTGGAAAAACATGTGGTCCTTATTAGGACTAGGCCCATGTCACGGTTGAGAATTCTGTAGGCTTTTATAGCTTATAGTGGAGAGAAAACTATGAAGAAAGAGTCAGGAGTCCTGACTGCTTTTGCCTTCTTCTTCTTCTTACGGTCACCTGACTATAAACTCTCATGGAAACTGGGTGACACAACTGCAGCCACTGTTCTTAACATCCAAAACTGAGTGTTGCAGATCCGTTTTACAGATCTGACTTATTTGTCTGCAGACGGCTGGTTGTTTGTCTTCAGGCAGTGCACTCCGACTTGCACTCCACAATTAGTCGACTCTTACGACAAGCTTTTGGGTAGGCATATTCTTTTCTATAATAGTGGCCCTGGTACGGGAAAACTACAGCAGTCTGGCTATGAGGTCTGGCAGTGACCAAATACATGGCTTTTCACATTTTGTTTCGTCAGTGAATGCACGCATGCAAACACAAGCTGAGATACCTTAACAAAAAAGTACAACACCTGGGAAACATTTTATTTCATGGTAACATCCCCTTCATGTAGTCCCCTGCTGCACACTTCTGCCAGTGACCAGGTAACTGTCAGAAGTGTTTCAGAAAGGCTCTTTGGGAATGGAGTACAGCTCAGCCCTAGAGGCTTCTGGTAACTCAATCTAGGCCACATTCCACAGCTTGAAGAACAGGTGAACCTTACAAGCTGCCATGCTGAGAGACTCTGAAGCCTGATAACTAGGACATTATTGTTTGGCAACAGAAACTTGGCAGCTCCATCAGGACAACACGTTCACCCAATTTTTTAAATAAATGCAAGCTAATGTATCAGATCTGAAGGGCTGAGACTCAGTCTCCCAAAGGCTTTACTAATCACCCAAACAGTGAACACTGTCCAAGCAACAACAGTAAGCAAGCATAAACAATCTACATCATCAGCAACGACTCACCTTAGTCACCATAACCACAACAAAGTTCTTTTCCTCAATGTTGTATTCTCCAACTGCCTTCGTATCATCTAGAATTTTACCTGTTGAATTAACAAAACATGAAACATATTAACAGAAATTAAACTGCTTAATATCAAGGAAGGTACTGTCGCATCGAAGTAGTCGTCACCGTCACATGATATGCCAGTAGGTGTGGATTTATAGAGGTCATCATCTTGCACAATCACTACACTTTATGCATGACAATTCAGATGTGGTCAACGCCCTCTGGAAGCAAGAGAACAAAGCAGAGGCAGGAATCAATCATTATAGTTGGAGACATTGGTACAGAGGCCAGTGACCAGGGGATCTGGCCAACACTCTACCCTCAGAAGAAAGGCAAGATGTACATATAATCAAATTCCTACTAGCACCATTGGAACTGGAACTCTTTGCTGGCTGCTGAAGAGAAGATGGAGCACTTATGGGAAGGTCCTGAGTGCTGTGATGTCAGTGCTCAGCTCAACATACTAGAGTCACCAATCATGTCTGTGCTGGTACCCTCTTATGTGATTTGACCATACCATCTTCTTCCTTTTCTCTTTCTTCTTCGCTGTTTGTTCAAGTGACATACGGTATTTACCCAAGTATAATATGATCTCATGTATAAGATGCAACTTGATTTAGGGCTGGAAATTTTGGAAAAAATAAATATTACATAAAATCTACTACAGTTAAACAAGATGAAGACTGTTTTTAGATCCTATATTTTTTTTTTAAATTGGTGCATCTTATACTTGGGGAAATAGATAATTTCATGTGCCTATATATAGTTTAGCTGCAGCATTTGGCTTTTATCAGATACATCCAACTTCATCAGGCATTTGTTGCCTAGGTTAGCCTTTCTGGTGATCAGCTCATCAATGTATTTATATCAATGTCTTATTTTCCCAGGACATGTGTCAGCTGTCCACAACATTTTGGTCCACTAACATATTTTGGTCCCACAGAAAACTTGCTATACTATCAGAACTGGTTTGTTATGTTGTTGATCCAGCGGCGCATGAGCTTTCGCCCTTTGCCCAACAATCAATGTCACAAGCTGTTCTTTTGTACAAGGTGTTCCACTTACGTGAGTGTTACTATCAGTTTTGGGAATCTGGTTTCAAATAGCATCAACAATCTAAGCAAGATATTCAAAACAATGTTTTTTCCCGTAATGAATTTAAATAATACGGACACAAACAATACATTGCACAATTTATTGCCAGGCATATTTTGCTTCATCTTGTCAGGTGCGTTACTACAGTGTTACATCAACATAAAATACACTGAAAAAATAAAATAAAACATAGTTTCTTCAAAACTGAATAAATCTCACAACTGACAATGCGTATACAAAGTCTTTTATTTTAGTCTTCCGATACGGTTTTTTTGGGTAATGGCCGTGTGGGTTAAACCCTTTATTTGATGCCCTGGGTAAGACTTTAAGTTTGGTTTTTGTAATGATGGAGCTTTGTGGGCAGGAGCAAAAATAACCATCCTACAAAGATAAATATTTTTAAAACATTTACTAAAATGACATGAGGAGAGCGGGCTCTCATGTGACAGTGCCTGGGTAAGGTGATAAGCTATGCAGCCTTAAACTGCGCTCCTCTCTGACTCTCGACCCCCTGTCTACACCATACTAAAAAAGTGGTAACTACAGACAGTAGTGACAGTTTAAAAAGAAAATGAGAGACAAAAACACAGTAACCTAGATGCACTATGTGCAATAACCTACACACCTGTACACATGAGAATGGCATACATTATTATGAAGAGAAAAATTATGCAATAATTTAGGGCAATTATACAGTAACCTAGAAACCAGAACCAGGAATACGTTATGAATGGCACTTCTTACCCACTGATGGCCAAGTCACAGAGGCATTTTTAGAACTAGCTGACTAGGACCAACAACTATCTTTAGGCTGTTCTCAAGCTCGTTGCACCACCTGTTAGTAAACAACAAATAAACGACCTTTTCCATGCTGTACTGACCTAAAGTGAATGGACAAATCGGCATTCTGTGGGTGATGTGGTAAACATCAAGCCACCTTTACTTCCAGGGTTTTTATTTCGTACCCATTTAAGTTTGGGTCGACCTGATAGCCAAGGTCATTTTTGTGTAAACTGCTCCGCTCGAATTCGAACTCAAGACTTTTGGATCTGCAACCGGGCGTCTAGCCACTTCACTATGGCAGCTCCCACGATATTAGTAACTTAGGGAAAATTATAAAGAATAACAACCCAACACATCCCCCTATTCACAGCCTCTCACCCTTGGAGTAAAATAAAATACAGTGAAAGACATAACACTGCACCTGCATAGATAAGCTTCTGTCCACTGGCTGGGTAATCCTTCCCCCTATCTGACTCAATCTTGTCCTTTAGCTCTTTAACCTGCAAGTACAGAGGCACACTGACTTCAAATTCTAATACATTTTTTTAAACAGAAGGATTTTTTCATAAACACACTGACAAGTCATGTTTTATTCAGAGAATAATTCCAGGGACATAATAAAGATTTGCTGGTATCGTGCTGATTGCACATGCTTATGATAAACGCTAAAATATTGAAAACAATCACTTGGAGCTGAGAAACAAATATATCTTTCAACTCTTTCAGTCCCAAGGAAGGCATCATGCATTCACAGGTTCCTACCTAGAAACCCAATAAATACAAGATGTGCCAATTTTATGTCTCAACTACCTCTTGGGCCTCTGATACTAAAGCCCTGGAACTGAAAGAGTTAAAAGTAATGCTTATGAGAAAAAATGGATTTAGTTTCCAAATACTTTGGTATCTGTAAATTTGTAAAGAACAAAATTCAATAACTGAGGTTCCACCGTCATCATCATGTAGAAGTACCTTTTCTCCCCCACATCTGTTGAGAGCATATACTTCAGTGGGGTGTGGACGGGGAAGGAGGGGGGCTGTAAAAGAGGAGAGAAGAAGCAGAAAATGAAGGTAGAAGAGGAGGAGGGTTGTTTTTCCTATTTGATAAATTTCATACATGGAAAAATATCCTAATTGGGATTAAGAACAAACATAAAGCAGGGACAGTTTTCACATTTGGCTATCCTCCGAATAACGGTCCTAAATTATCGAGGTGGAAAATATACCCTAACAGGGCCTCAGTCACATGTCAATTGCGCACTTCCGTCGTCTTAAATTGTGCGCTCCCGGCGACTTCCGCCACCGCCGAATTGCGAACTTCTGCCACCGCCGAGAGTATACCCCACGCCGTTCAGGCGGCGTGGATTAGGGCTAAACTAGATGGCTAGGACTCACGAGCAGCAGCTACCGCATCTCCTGCAGCTTCCTTCATTTTATTTGCTCGTGAGCCCTAGCCATATAATTTAGCCCCAAAATACGTTGCGTGAGCGGCGCAGGGTATACTCTCGGCGGTGGCGGAAGTTCGCAATTTCAGCGGTGGCATTATAGTCCCCGGAAGTGCGCAACTGACATGTGACTGAGGCCCTGTTAGGGTATATTTTCCACCTCAATAATTTAGGACCGTTATTCGGAGGATAGCCTCACATTTTATCCTAGTTAAGTATAGCTAATTTCAGAATTGTATATAAGTGTTGTTTAATATAGGTGTTGTTTAAAAAAAAAAACAATTATCAATACAAGACTTGAAAGAGGAGAAGCCCAAACAGATACATAAAAAAAAAAAAAAAAATAAGGTATCAAATGTGGATAGTTTGTTTTGCTGTAAACATACTGTAATTTCTGGGGAAACATCCAGCTTGAAAGTTTGTTGCTGCAACGTTTTGAGCGTGATGAGCATGTCTGGAGGTGTATCCAGTCGGCTTACAGACAGCACCTGAAGATGCTTCTCTTAACGAGATCACCTTGGTCAGACAGCCAGTATAAGATGATGTTTCTCCAATGTCTGTCTGCTTGGACAAGATGTACAGGAGAGTGCTGCTTCCCTCTATACCTAGTTCCTCTGCTTCTTTAGACTAATATTTTTATGTTTCACGTTGTTTCCTCTCAGTGTTATCATCTGATCGTGAACCGACCTGCACTCGTAGATATAAGTTGATGTTACTGTTTCTGAGTTTCTCTCTACAATTTCTCCCTGTACAGATCAGATAGCACGTAGGAGACGCTGTTTCTTTGTACGATATCTCACAGCACCGTTCAACAAAACAGTCTCTATATATAATAATATTAGTCTAAGATCATACTCATATCACGTCGTCGTAGACGGAAGATTCTGCTCACTGTCTGTCCTCTCTATCTACATCTACGATACGATGAACATGAAGTGCTGAGATTGAGATGAAGTATGAAGTTGTTCTCGCTTAGACCGATAATTTCCTCCCTGACTCTATGGTGTCTCCCTGCACAGGTAGTTTGAACAAGCTATGCTCCTCTATGCCTAAGTGAAATTAACAGAATCTTCTGCTAGCGTAAACCGATGTTTTCCTCTCTACGTTAACAACTCCTTGGCTCGGACAGCCGCCATCAACTGCCATCCCGCACAAACATTGTGTGTCTGCTTATAAGTGTTCTTTCATCTTTAAAATATTCAATTTCATAAATAGTAGAGTACATTTTAACTGTTCGTATTAAATCATATACTCCCAGACAGTATATTTTAATAAGTATCAATTTTGTAAAGAGGTATTGTTAGAGTTCTCCCCATTTTTACTGCAGTGATATAAAAATTTATGTTCCGGGTCAAATCCTGTTGTTGATTTAAAGACGAGGTGGTAAGTGAAAACTGGTGGTGATGGGTTCGGATCTCTTGTGTCTCTAGCTGTTGCATGTTACGATGTTTAATGTGTCTTCTTACAGCTGCTTTTTTCACGCCTTCAGTTTGTTGAATAGTACTTCTCAGTACAATTGCTGGTCCCAGGACCGGATGAGAAAGGAGGAGGGTTAGGTATGCTGGTATGGGGGCCACCTCTCCCACTAACATCCTCCGAATAGCGGTCCCAAATTATTTATTGAGACCGAAAATATACCCTACTACCGCATCTCCTGCAGCTTCTTCCGTTTTATTTGCTCGTGAGTCCCAGCTATCTAGTTTAGCCCCACTCTGTGCTGCAATTTACATGTGACTGAGGCCCTTTTAGGGTATATTTTCGACCTCGATAATTTGGGACCGTTATTTAGAGGATAGCCAATTTTTTTTTTTTTTTGGCTACAGAATCTTTCAGGAGATTGACCTGGGCTTTCAGTTCGACCCAGCCTCACAAACAATGTAATTATAATCTGAAGTAAAGTCTTTTCCACCCCTTCAGGCATATTATAGTATATAGGTCTAGATCTGTATTTTATAGAACAGTTGACATGGGTTAAGTGATGTGGTCAATAAATCACTCAAGGCTGGGTCACCCTAGGAGCCAAAGCCATTTTGTTTCCCGTCACAACCAGAAACCAGAACCTTCTGATCCACAAGTGAGCGTCTAACCACTACACCACAGTGGCTTCCAACATGGTATTAGGAAAGGTCCTTGGAAGTAAAGGCAACCTGCATGATGTTGACCATCTTAGCTATCAAATGTTGGCTGGTCTATGAAAAGCATGAGCCTAGCACCATAATTTGCCAGATTTGATGTATCAACATATTTTGGGACACTTTCTGGTTCTTATCACGATATTGTCTGCACAACGAGAGTTACTTCCCGTCCCTTTGGGCCACAACCTGTCACACGACCTGTCATATGTTGTGAGGGTATTATGTATTCCTTATTTTCAACAGTTCCACTGTTCTCTTTTCTTATGTTGTCACCGCTCACTTGCAAGATTATTTGCGCTGTTGTGCTACTTGCGCGATTTGTGAAAAGCGAAATTTTTATTTTGTTTGTTTGTTTGATTTCAACATTCCTTGGTAGTGGCTTTTGCCCCAGAAAATGCAGCGACTGTTCCTGTGCCATTGAAAATCATTTACGATGCCCCTCACTACCCTTTTTGGAAAACTAGTGAACAAACAATTAGTCCCTTCACAATCCAGAAATATGCGCTGGCAGTAAATGCATTAGGCAGTTGCTAGAGGTCCTAAAACAAACAGTCACCACCAGAAATGCAGTTTTTTATTAGTGGAAGTAGTCGGTCACAATAAGTTTGATATACAAATGTAAAATTATTACATAAGGTATTTCACCAGCCCACACATAAACTGACTACCGGCCATATTGCAGTGATCCAGCCGCTGCACACATGAAAGACATTCCACATTAAAAACACAGCTCACAGTGATGCCCCAAACACTCAACTCAGTAGCTTAGGCATCAAACCATAGACTTCTGTCCATATATGGGAACTGCATTAGTAAAATACTGTCAGAAGCAAAAATAACTTTAGTAACGAAACATTCTGCCTCCTTCATATTAGGCCGCAAGTTTTTAATTTAACATCTTAGTGCTTACTATTAATATGTGTATGTCTTTTTATTGTTTTCGGATAGACTTTGATGGAAAACATGAGTATTCCTGCAGCAGCTGATGGCCAGTGTCATTACTACTTAACAAAGAAGAGACGCTACTGCCGGTTCCAGCCAAAAGAAGGACAGCAGTACTGCCCAGAGCATGCATGCATGATGGGAGTAAGTACAGTCATCTAATTCATTTATGCAGCTGGTTTAAAAACTCCTGAATTCTTTAATGCTTAATGAGTTAAATATACACTTTTATCTTTTATGAAGTAAGTTTAAGTACTGTGAGTTGGCGTCTGGCTTAGGAGTTATTAGGACAGTTTGTAGTTTGAAATACCTGGTTCTGTTTCAGCTGCATATGATATGACAGCAGACTACTTTTTGTTGATTTTGAAAGTGATACCTAGAGCCAACAGATTTAGAAAGCAATGGCAAACTACTGAACGTAAAATTTGCCTAGTAAAAGTACAAATTAGCCGACAAATTCTGGAGTTGGTTTGTGATGTCCTGGTGAAGGATATGCAACTAAGTTTAAATATGGTGTAAATGCTCGAACATGTGTTGTCTTCTTCTTTCTCTTTTTCCTCTGCTTCTTCTTCTTCTTCTTCTTCTTCTTCTTCTTCTTCTTCTTCTTCTTCTTCTTCCTTCTTCTTCTTCTTCTTCTTCTCTAGTCCTATTCTGCCCTTCAGTGTCAGTGTTTGAAGAGGCATCGGGTGACAGCTTTGGTGTGTACTATGTAGATTCTGGTATTTACAGCCTGGGATATGGCTTCTATCCATCGCTTGCATGATTGACCTTTAGCTCTGCTTCCATTATGTCTTAGTGACACTGGGTTCTCTTTGATGCACTGGGGATCCTCTTACATCCCATTAGGTCACCAGAATACAGGCGGATCCCATCACTGGGGATCGTCACCTGAGCTACGTTGTTCATATTTTGTATGATTCTGACAGCAGGTGCTTAGCCTTTCATACAGTTACCACAGTTGCAACCTATTTCCATTTTATGTGACATCCTAATTCTGAACATTAAAACTGGCTGATAAATAACGTCATATCTCAAAAAACTGAAATATTTTTCTTGTAAAATAAACACCACAGTACCAGTGCATTAAAGTGTTGGATTGCAAACTGCTCCTCCCCATGCCACTTAAGAGTGGACGTTGATGATGATGATACCTAAAGGATTAGGCACAACAGACTTTATCAACATATGTTCAAATTTTTCAATGTAGGAAACACGGCGACGTGTCCCTGCATCGTGGCACCCAAAAATGCTGAGCATGTGCTCCAACACTGTCAACTATTTGCTGACAACAGAGATCCAGTCTGGCCTGTTCCAACCACAATTAAGACAAAGCTGTATGGTACACGAGAGGATATGGACTGCACAAAAGCTTTCATAAAGGCTACGGTCCTTATATAAGTTTTCTGACAGAAGGATCAAAGAAGAAGAAGAAGTGTTTTAGAAAGAATATTAATGGAAAGTGTGATGCCTAGATGAAAACTCAGGTTTCAACTAGTATTAAGGTAGACACAGAACAATCAAGACAACAAGTAGTTTCAAGAGACAAGGAAATGGGCAAAATATTATTTTTTTTTTTTTTTTAAATTTAAGCTTTGACACAAGTGATATTGTGCAAACGATCTACTTCATGAAAATTTGTCATTTTTATCACATTTGTTATTTTTCTTCAGATCCACGGTAAGCGGAAAAGAATTCCTTGTCCACTTAATCCAAAACAGTAAGTAATCTTATCCTTTATTCTATCACAAAAGGTAATTTCTTTGTGTACAACAGTGGTAATCTCATAATTCTTGTAGCCAGGTATTTTACGGTGCAGTTTCTGTGGTAAATGTATTTTTTATTTATTTTCATACACAAAACTTGTTTTATCATCTTATCTTAATTTTGTATTTGTAAGTAGATTGTGAGTTGCAGATTATCTCCCAGTCCTTATGAAAGGAAATAGGAGCTTTTAAGCTGAAATGCTATAGAAAGATTCTCAGAATATCATGGACAAAGAAGAGGAGAAATCATTTAAAAAGATCTGAACATCAAAGAATGTTGGCTTATAAACAGCAACATGTCTCAGAAGCTGAAATATTTTGGTCATATCAAGCGCCATAATGGATTGGAAAAAATAATAGCAGAAGGCATGGTACTAGGAAGGAGGGACCAACATGAAAATGGGCACATGATATAAGTGACTCCTTGAATATGAAAGTACACGAGGTGGGAGATCTGGCGAGAGACCGAGTTTCTTTCAGGCAGACCATGATGAGAGCAACTTTCTGAAAGAACCTGCTACATGATGACGATGATGTAGATTGTGGTCTTTTGTAATTTATATTTATTTCAATTGTTTTTAACATCTTTATTCTGTGACATTTGTATTTATTGCATCGTTTATGAAATTTAAAATTTTGTCAAGATATTTAATCATGTGTCCCAGGTTATTCAGTGAAATGTGTATGATCCCAGATTGTTTTATTTGAGGTTAACTTAAGAGTATTCAGTGATTGTAGTATTTATGTCATTGTATATCTGTCCTGATGATTGAATTGTTTTTATCTCAGATTGTTTTATTAGAGGTTAACTTAAGAGTATTCAGTGATTGTAGTATTTATGTCATTGTATATCTGTCCTGATGATTGAATTGTTTTTATCTCAGATTGTTTTATTAGAGGTTAACTTAAGAGTATTCAGTGATTGTAGTATTTATGTCATTGTATATCTGTCCTGATGATTGAATTGTTTTTATCTCAGATTGTTTTATGAAATTATTTTTTTTTTTGCTTTAGGATGTTTATGAACTAATTGCATTATTCACATGACATTTGTATTTCCTTCAGCAATTGCTATGAAGATGAACTGGAGAAACATGTAAACAAGTGCAACGTCACAAAAACTCAAAAAGTCACTCAGCAGGCAGTAAGTAGCACCGATTATTGGCTGTTTTTATTGGAGAACGGGGAACCATTTTTTTTAAAAGAGAGGGTTGGGAGGAGCGGGGGTGTGGACCTGCTCCTCTTAACAAGGAGCAAATGTGACTTATTTAGGATTTTGAAATTGTGCCAAAAGGTACAGATATGACATTTAACAGTTCCCTGCGTGAGTTCTAGGGCGTGGGGCCCTGTTGTGATTCTGGAGCGGTAAAAGAATAGACCCACTGCCCCATTACAAGCTTGTCATAGCGGTCAGTTAATTAGGAATGTTTCCTTGAAAGTTAAAGTGCTTCTGCCTGAGTGGTGAAAAACTATCCATCTACTTACAAATAAGCCGGATCTGCAAAATGGAATGCATGCAAAACTCAGGTTCTGGAACACGACTATAGTCTAAGTTAATGAACAACCAGAAGTTTCTGCAGGAGTTTACAGCTCTTGGACGAAGAAGGACATTGAGATAGACTTAAGTTAACCTAACAGAAGAATGGGAAAGAAGAGCAAAGAAATGTGTACCTCATACATAATAGCCAGTTTAATAATCCTGCTTCACAGGATCCTGTAAGGGTGTTACCTTGAGTATGTATTGTTTGGTTGATAAAAGAAAGGTAAATTACTCAAATACATTGTATATTATATTCTAGAGATACTACATTCAAGGTATCAACAAAGCTTCTGGGGTATCACAACCAGGAGAGTCCCTGGGGAATAAGAAGGTATTATCATCTCCATTTGTGATCATATTACCAGTAATTGTCTCATCTCAGCTACCAATAATTGTCTCATCACATTACCAGTAATTGTCTCATCCCATTACCAATAATTGTCTCATCACATTTCCAGTAATTGTCTCATCACATTACCGGTAATTGTCTCCTCACAATACCAGTATTTGTCTCATCACAATACTAATTGTCTTATCATGTTAGTTGTAAATATCACATTATATTAGCATTAAATGTTAGGATTTTTTACTCTTTTATGTAGTAGTAGTTTGTAAACTCTGGCGGAATATTCTGGTTACTCACCCACTTCTGAACTTTAGTCAAGAACTTGAGTTTTGTGTGCACATTCTTTTACAGATCTGGCCTATTTGTATGCAGACTCTTGGTTCCTCGCTTCTCAGGCAGATGCACTCTTGACTTTGAAGAAAATAATAATTGTTACTTGTTACCTGTGTGTGTGTGTGTGTGTCTCTGTGGTGTTTCATCATCACCATTATTTTCCTTACGATAAGCATCAGCAGTCATTTACCATCTACAGGATCACCAGAATTACAGACCAGTTCCCATTTCTATGAAAATGTATATGTGTGATCCAATAAATGTGCCATTGTAATCCTTATATTTAGTTGTAGTATACTCAAGGAATCTGGCAAGGTATTTATTTTTTTATTTCAATATATGGCTCCTGTGAAAGTAATACATCTGTTTTGTTGCTCTCACTATTGATCACATGAAGCGGTTTCTAAGATACTGGCACCTAACAGGATACACGTTGAGAAAATCTGATAATACTAGAGGAAATCAGTAAGTAAATCACAAATGGTTGTTTAAAAAAGAACAACAGGATACAGTTTGAAAACCATTTATTTTTACACATTCACTGTCCCTTTATTTGATGCACTTGTCCCATCGTTTCATCAGTTCTTCCAACCCTGCTGCATAGAACTGCGTGCTCTGTTTAAAAAAAACAAAAACTTTCACATTCAACTTCTACATTGTTCATGAAATGTCTGCCATGAAGGTGGGTTTTCAGTGGACCAAAAAGGTGAAAATCGCTAGGGGCTAAGTCGGGGCTGTAAGATGGATGTTCCAGAAGTTCCCACCCTAGATGGTTAATCGAGTTTTATGTGGTCTGGCATTGTCATGAAAGAGCAGTACTCCTCTAGTTAGCAGGTTTGGACATTTTCTTCGAATTGCATCATGAAACATGGGTAGAACTTTACCGAATGAATCAGCATAAACAGGAAGCATTTCCTTATAAATGTCCTTTGCAGAGGCCTTTTACCCCCTCCCCCAAAAAACGCACAACAGCACTTTGCTCTTTAAGATACACTCTGTAAGTACAGTCGCCATTTTGTTTCTGTGTTGCAAATGCACATGCAACACCTAGCGCCACATAATGAACGGAGTCATAAATTTCGATGTTCCTTTCTCCTAACGACACCTTTAGAAACCACCAACTACATTTTCCTGCCATCCCATAATCACTTGTGACTTACTTATTGACTTCCCCTTGTAGAATAAAGGAGTGAATCAAGAATTGACATCACTGCACTCAGGACTTTCCCACACATGCTCTGTCTTCTTCCTCAATAGACAGTGAATAATTGTCATGCTAATAGTACTAGTTGCAACCTGATATAAATTCTCTATCTGTTCTTTTGCATTGTCCATACGACCCCAGAGAGAATTTACCACATCAGCTTTATCATAAAGTAGTTCACCGCCCAAAAAAGCGGCAGCAGCCAGTCTATCAGCCTGCTCATTACCCGGCACGCCCAAATCTCTTGGGACAGAAAAATCCATGATGTGCACATGACCGGAGCTGATAATAGTTTAACTAGAATGTCCTTGCACTGGAACCTACAGGACAAAAAATCAACAACAGAAGACCACTCTAAAACATGGAGAACTGGACGCAAAGAAGAAAAGTGTGAAGACATAATAGAGGGAGCTGCAGGTAATGAAAAAAAAAAGTCAATATGGTGTAAATTGTTTGGGGGCCAAGGATCCACTGGGAGATAAAGAGCAACAGAAAAAGATACATATCTACTGGTGTGAAGATAATAAATTTTTTGAGTGATCCTGTCTGTTGCAGGTTTGCGTCAAAGATTTGACTTCAGAAGAACTGGCTGCATTGATTGCAAGAGTTGATCAGCTGTATCAAGGTAACAGCAACCAGTTAATGAAATGCTATCTCCACAATGAGTATTGGCTGAAATCGACTTTCAGTACTTTCTGCAACTTGGTTAATTGCACACTCTGCCGCACTACTGTTTATCCATATTTTTTTTTTTAATGCTACTTCCTTACCACTTGTATCATTCTCTGCCTTTTTGCTCTGCTGTAAATGTACTAAATGTTTCCTATATGTACGAAGAGTAGCCTCTTATATATATATATAGATAGATAGAGAGAGAGAGAGAGAAAGAGAGAGAGTTAGCCAAAAAATGTATACACAGTAATCGCCCAGCAGTGAAATGCATAAACATTTCCATAGAGGCTACATGTTTTAAAAAGTCATCATTACATGACATATTCCGCCAAATTTAAATTGTATTACGGTAGCTATGTGTTGTATTATGGTTGTGAAAAGTGTCTGGAGGCTAATGGGAATCACTTTGAGCACTTGTGGTAACTTCATACATCCTATTTAACTTGTATGTATCTTGTCATGTCTGAATAAATTTAGTATCAGAATAATTATATGGGTTGTTGTTTTAAAAACCTCCATGTAACATATTGCTAGCGTAATGTTTTCACAGACTGCACACATCATACATGGAAATGCATTTCACTGCCGGGCAATTACTATGTATACATTTTTTGACTATCCCTGAATACACACACACACACACTGCGTGGTCTTGAAGCTGCGTTCCACCTCGAGTGCTGGAGGTCCCTGGTGAAGGCTAGGATTTTTATCACGTGGGCTTCTAGTAATTTCCTCTGGTCTCTGGGTAGTAAGATCAGATGCCTATGTGTATTGTTTCGCATTAAAAAAATTCCTTGGCTGTTGGAAATGGAAAAGAGTAGTCGAATGACGCTGCCCAGGCAAAACTTGGAGTGAAAGCAAAAGTAGTTCAGGATCTTCGCCGGTGCTACCGAGTTCATGCTCTGGGCTGAGATTCTTCGAACATACATACATACATACATACTTACATACATGCATGCATACATACATACATGCATGCATGCATACATACATACATACATTCACATACATACATTCACATACATACATACATACATTCACACACACACATATACATACTTTCATGCATCCATATAAACATACATACATATATTCGCACACATACATACATACATACACACACACATACATACATACACAACACACAGACATGTGGGGTTTACCATCCAGATTGAGTTTGATAATCTCAGGATGTAATGATAAACCTTTAGATATCCAGCTTGAAGGTACAGATGATCAAGCATAGGCTATACCAGTGGTTTCCAAAATGTGTGCAGTGGTGACCTCTTCACAGGGGCAGCATCACGCCAGCCTTTAGAATATATATATGATATTAAATTTTGTAATATATCATTTGATGTCATCATCTCTGTGTTATTTATTTCATGTCATATTATATGAAAATATAGATGTAGAATTGAGGGGTGCAACATCTACCTCTGGTTAGCACAGACTAGGTTTGAGTCAAAACATGGACTGGGTTTTTACAAAGAAAAAATAGATGGTATGACCCACTGGTGCCCATTTATTACAGTGAAGCAAAGAAATTAAACAGCTGGACAAGCATGTCTTAAGAGGCAAATTGGAAGGGTTGGCAGCATTCAACAACCTCATCTCGTCTAAAATTGTGGTGACAATATTGTATCAATTGTGAACACATCCAAGAGTTAGTTAGTTTGGGGGCTAATACTCTTTTGGGATACAAAAGGCAGAAGAACATACTTCACTTTCAGGATAGTATATTCAAAATGTGTAGCCATCAGGCAAGGGCACACAAAAAAACTTGGAGGACATGTAGGCACATTAGAAGGTTGACTCTGCTCATTTTCACGATTATGAGAACTCTGGTGGAAAGTTCTGGTTCTTTGTACATTTCTGGACTTTTGTCTTTATCTGGAACTTGAATTTTATGTGCACAACCAGTTACAGATCTGGCTTATTTGTGTGCGGACTGTTGGTTCCCCACCACTCAGACAGGTGCGCTCTAATTTTGAAGGAAACACCCCTAATTAGTCACCTAAAACATGCTTCCATGGTGGGAGGGGGAGGGGAATGCATCTTTTCTTCTCTTCCTCCTAAAGTGGGGTCCGAAATCCACACAGAGAGACCCACAACAAATAAAATAATACCCACACGCAAACATTGGAAATCAGAGGATGCTAATTCCCACTCCACTACATCTGGTTGAAAAAGGGGGAAGGTTTAGCATATCATCCTTAAATCATCCACACTGTGGATTAAACCAGTCCTTTTGAATTAGAAGTGGATGCTGCACCTCCGTCTCACTCAGTGTACATATAATACAACCTCTGTGTAACATTTATATAGAAATGTCTGCATCTGTTAGATCATGTGGACCATATTGAGACTTCTATCCTGGAGCACCCACGTTTGAGGGATGAATACTGTGGGCAGGAGGAGAATGATCTGATGAAGGCTCTAGAGGACCAGGCTGCTCTACGCAAGGAACTCTTGCAACAGGTGATGTACAAGTTGCAGTGTTAGGGCACATCATTGCCTTTCACACACGTGAGCCATGGTTGATATGATATCTGCTTGTTGTTTTTCCGTAAAAGAGAAGTTTGCCTTTTGTGGTTTACAGGTAGGTTGCAATATCTGCAGCTTTTGACCTAACACATCAGGTTTCAGCAGACCCTTCATTAATCACTTTTTGACAATATATTTTTAATTCAGCGTCTGTGGCTTAGGCATTGTGAATGTGCTTCATAATGCAGGGTGCTTGGTTTGATCCCAGCTGTGGACGTTTGGCAGCAGAGCATCTTGCATTAGTTTCGACAGTGGTACCAAGAGCTGACCTTTAAAAAAAAAGTGGCAAACTACTGAATGTAAAATGTGCCCAGAAAAACCACAACAGCTCCCAAAAAAGGCTGAGTTTGGTTCTGCAACGTCCTGTAAAAGATACGCAACTAACCGTTGAGGGAGCAGTGGTTTTGTTCTCCCTCCTCAAATAAAATAGGTCCCAGAACCCACACAGAGTTGGCCAGAGTATAGTGAAAGATGATTTGGCAAACTGTTGATTTTCCATTTCTTTTTTTGTGTGTGTCTACATTCACATTCTGATTTCCATGTTGACTCAAATAAGAGCACTTAGTTTTAGGACCGACATTTACTAAAAGATGAACGCCAGATGACTCAAGGAGATATTATGAGAATCAAACTGAAGCAAATCCACGAACTCTGTTCTGCTATATAAAAGTTAGTTGTGTATTGTTTATACGATGTTGCAGAACCAACCCAAGCATTTTTGGCTGTTTATAATTTTCCTAGGCAATTTTTACATTGTTTTCTTCTTTTCTCCGTGTGTTCAGCCTGTGTCTGAAGAATCTCAGCGCAGTGCACAAAGTTTATAGCACTGGGGAGGATCCTGAAATACTTTGGTTAAGATTTTCAACTGTAAATTTTGCCTGGGCAGCACTGTTAGACTACTCATTTAGATTTCCAACTGCCAAGGGATTCTTTTATGTGTGCAACAATACACACATGCATCCGATCTTACTACCCAGAGACCAGGGGAAATTACTAAAAGCCCACATGAACAAATCTCAGCCTTCACTGGACTTCCAGCACTTGAGGCAGACGCCATGCCTTGAGACCACTCAGACTCCCCTTTTTATTGCTTATTGTTAAGTTCTGTCTTATTTTCGGGCAGACAAGTTAGTTAATTTAATGGCTTTTTTATGTTCCAGGCATCGCTGATTGGACAATTGGAACAGCAAGGGCTACTCAATGGCGGCCACTGTTTTATTGAAATGGGTGCTGGTAAAGGTATGTTGTAATTTCAGAAACAATTTTGTTATTGGGTCAAGAAAACAGAACAAATGAAGTATTTTTGAAAATATACATCAAATAATGTCTTTTTACTGTGTATCTGGCAGGAAAGTTGTCTCACTGGATACAGAAAGCCAGTCATGATGTCATCAAAAACTCATACCTGTTAATTGACAGAAGCAGTGTCAGATACAAGGTAAACTATATTTCTCTAACTGTAATTGGAAAGCTTTACTGCAGGGCTATTCAGCTAACTTTACTGCAGGGCTATTCAGCTAACTTTACTGCAGGGCTATTTAACTAACTTTACTGCAGGGCTATTCAGCTAACTTTACTGCAGGGCTATTCAACTAACTTTACTGCAGGGCTATTTAACTAACTTTACTGCAGGGCTATTCAGCTAACTTAACTGCAGGGCTATTCAACTAACTTTACTGCAGGGCTATTTAACTAACTTTACTGCAGGGCTATTCAGCTAACTTTACTGCAGGGCTATTCAGCTAAGTTTACTGCAGGGCTATTCAACTAACTTTACTGCAGGGCTATTCAACTAACTTTACTGCAGGGCTATTCAGCTAACTTTATTGCAGGGCTATTCAGCTAACTTTACTGCAGGGCTATTCAACTAACTTTACTGCAGGGCTATTCAGCTAACTTTACTGCAGGGCTATTCAGCTAACTTTACTACACTTTACTTTATTGCAGGGCTATTCAACTAACTTTACTGCAGGGCTATTCAACTAACTTTACTGCAGGGCTATTCAGCTAACTTTACTGCAGGGCTATTCAGCTAACTTTATTGCAGGGCTATTCAACTAACTTTACTGCAGGGCTATTCAGCTAACTTTATTGCAGGGCTAACTATTCAGGGCTATTCAGCTAACTTTACTGCAGGGTTATTTAACTAACTTTACTGCAGGGCTATTTAACTAACTTTACTGCAGGGCTATTCAGCTAACTTTACTGCAGGGCTATTTAACTAACTTTACTGCAGGGCTATTCAGCTAACTTTACTGCAGGGCTATTCAGCTAACTTTACTGCAGGGCTATTCAGCTAACTTTACTGCAGGGCTATTCAGCTAACTTTACTGCAGGGCTATTTAACTAACTTTACTGCAGGGCTATTCAGCTAACTTTACTGCAGGGCTATTTAACTAACTTTACTGCAGGGCTATTCAGCTAACTTTACTGCAGGGCTATTCAGCTAACTTTACTGCAGGGCTATTCAGCTAACTTTACTGCAGGGCTATTCAGCTAACTTTACTGCAGGGCTATTCAGCTAACTTTATTGCAGGGCTATTCAACTAACTTTACTGCAGGGCTATTTAACTAACTTTACTGCAGGGCTATTCAACTAACTTTATTGCAGGGCTATTCAACTAACTTTACTGCAGGGCTATTCAGCTAACTTTATTGCAGGGCTATTCAGCTAACTTTACTGCAGGGCTATTCAGCTAACTTTACTGCAGGGCTATTCAGCTAACTTTACTGCAGGGCTTTCACTAACACTGCAGGGCTATTCAACTAACTTTACTGCAGGGCTATTCAGCTAACTTTACTGCAGGGCTATTCAACTAACTTTACTGCAGGGCTATTCAACTAACTTTACTGCAGGGCTATTCAACTAACTTTACTGCAGGGCTATTCAACTAACTTTACTGCAGGGCTATTCAGCTAACTTTATTGCAGGTCTATTCAGCTAACTTTACTGCAGGGCTATTCAGCTAACTTTATTGCAGGGCTATTCAGCTAACTTTATTGCAGGGCTATTCAGCTAACTTTACTGCAGGGCTATTCAGCTAACTTTACTGCAGGGCTATTCAACTAACTTTACTGCAGGGCTATTTGGCCCGCAGGCCACCAGTTGTATAGCCCTGCTTTACAACTTTGTATCCTTCTCTGCCTCCTCCTGATACAGCTGTGAGAGCACTGTACCTGATCACTATGAGAGCACTGTGCCTGATCACTGTGAGAGCACTGTACCAGATCACTGTGAGAGCACTGTACCAGATCACTGTGAGAGCACTGTACCTGATCACTATGAGAGCACTGACGATCACTGTGAGAGCACTGTACCAGATCACTGTGAGAGCACTGTACCAGATCACTGTGAGAGCACTGTACCAGATCACTGTGAGAGCACTGTACCTTATCACTATGAGAGCACTGTACTTGATCACTGTGAGAGCACGTACCAGATCACTATGAGAGCACTGTACCAGATCACTATGAGAGCACTGTACCTGATCACTGTGAGAGCACTGGACCTGATCACTGCGAGAGCACTGTATCTCATCACTGTGCTGTATTCCACTGTAACACGTTTTTGAAATCTCATTTCACATTGTGTCCCTAGATTTGTGTTTTGTTCTGTTACCATTTATTTGGTTTGCTAATGCTGTCAGTTTATTTCCCTCTCCTCCTCTTCTGTCTATTTCCCTCTTTCTTTTAGTCTGTGTGTTTTTCTCTTTCTGTTTATCCATCTCTTTCTGTCTCTCTATCACTCCTAATGTTTTTTTCCTATATTTTTCTCTCTGAACTGTTTTCTGCCCCTACTCTACCACTCTCTCACTGTATCTCTTTCTTCTCTTCTTTCATAACTTGCCTAAACCTCAAAGATGGGATAGCAGGCTGTAAGAAAAGTATCCACTGACATGGGTATGACATGATAGCTTTACTAAATGCCAGTAAATTAACAAAGTACCTCAAAGACTGTTACTTCCATGAAAAGTTCTGTATGCTTTTATTCCCATGACCATTTTTCTGTTTGTGATATTCTACACATTCTTCTGTGTCCATGATATTGTCATAATTGTGTTTCTTACAAACCATATTCCCATTAGGATATAATAGAAGGGAGGGATAGACTGTGAGCCATATGCAAAATATAGTTCCACAATAAAACAGTGATGATGATATTTCCATTCTTCCTCACATCTGACAAGAAGCTGTAACAAGAGATAACTTATTTGGGCTCCTATGACAGTTATTGTTATAGGTGTATAATCTGACATGTATTTTTGGTGGCATTCTGAATAGGGAGACCAGTTCCCTTACACATATTCTCTTCCCAGAAAATGTCCCCAAGTAGTTAGCGCCCTTTGGATTTGTTATCCAGGTTTTGCTGGTGGGCTGGGAAATAAACAGGCAGATAGACTGGCTAGCTCTGCACCATTTGGCAGTGAACTGATGCATGACAAGTTAGATGTTGTAAGGGTCCCTTAGGAGCGAGTGAACAGTGCAGAGGCACAAACAGATCATCATGTTCTGTTACTGGTGCCATCAGAACTGGAACTCTGCATCTGCTGCTGTAGATGTGGATGGAGCACTTATGGGAATGTTCTGAGTACTGTATTGCCAATTCTTGATTCAGTATTCTTTCCAGAAAAAAACTGCTGATTAAATAAAAAGTAAGGCAGGATTTACCCAAGAGCATCAAGGGGTCGGATGAAAGTCCTTCAGTTGTTCTGTCTTTCATCAGATGTGTGTTGTTTGATTTCCAGATGGACTGTTTTCATAAGCAGGGAGGAGCAGAATCAGAATTTAAACGTATAAAGGTGGACATTGAAGACCTCTGTTTGGGTGAGTGGTTTTCTTGTATTCTTCCTTGTTTCTTTGTTTAGCTGATTGTTTTGGTGAAGCTTATTTGTTATCTATGCTCTCTGTCTTCCTTTGCCTCTCTTGTTTAGTCTTTTCTTACATCAAGCTAAATTTTTTTCTTTTCCACTTCTTCTGTTGGTAGCTCCATAAATATGTTTGTCTTATAAACATTTTGTTCAAGCAACGAGCAACACTGCAATTGCCTTGACTGGTCAGATACTGAACAAAGGTGATGTCTTCAGTTCTGTACATGGCACATATCGTGAAGATCAATATGGCACTCAAAAAAGCATGACTCTGTATCCCTATCCAGGCTGGTGGACATGAAGAGTGTAATCTAAAGCTGCAAGGGCAGAAGAGATTTTATTAATCAATGCATTATCAGTCATTTTACATTTGTGGGGCTACTGAGAAGTAGATGTGAGCAGCCGTGGATCTATTGCCCTCAAAGTAACCTGTTATAGGTTACAGGATGTTGCAGAACCAACTCCAGCAGCCCCTGGCTTTTGTATGGTTTCTTTAGGCAAATTTAGATCCAGTAGTTTGCCATTGCTTTCTGGACGGTTGGCCTCCTGATACCACTGTCGAAACCAACGGAAGGCGCTTGGCCTGCAGCTGGGATCGAACCCAGCACTCCGGCATTACGATGCGTTCGCATCGACTTAGCCACAGAGCCGACTAACCTGTTATAAGAGGCATTTAATTAGGAATTTGCTGAAATCAAATGTTTTGGACCAAAGGGTACATATATAACAGTGTAGCTGTAAACCTCAACAACATGTTAGCCACCCTTCTAATTGGACCAAAGGGTACATATATAACAGTCTAGCTGTAAACCTCAACAACATACTAGCCACCCTTCTAAAGGTGAATGTAGAAGAAGAAAAAACGAGAAATCACTTTACGTTTTTGTCCTGCACATTGCCAAGCCATTTATGTATGTATCCTATGTTGTTTTGCTAATTGACATATATATTGGATATGGTTTGCTGCTTTTGCTAAAGCAATACCTATTTTAATCTCTACAAGGCAGTATAGTTTGGTAATGGTTTTCACTTTTTGATATTCATTAGTGTCTTTATTTTTGTAATACATCACTTTCAGTGTTCATGAGTCATTTTACAAAGGTTTCAGTCTTCTCTCTGAGATAAGGTCAGTCTCATCACACAGCCACTCTGACTCTCCCTTTCTCATATTTTCTGGGGGGGCTGTCTCTTTCTATCTCTATCTCTTCTTCTTCTTCGATTCTTCTGTCCAAAAACTTATATCAGGAGGCCGACTTTCTGGCTCTCTCTCTCTCTCTCTCTCTCTCTCTCTCTCTCTCTCTCTCTCTCTCTCTCTCTATCTCTCTCTCTCTCTCTCTCTCTCTTTCTCTGTTTGCCAGAGTGTTGGCCTTGTGGCCTACTTAGTACAATTTTCAGTTGTAGAAGTTTTCACATGCATCACTTGCACACAGGACCTTTTGTTTTTCTACATTATCTAAATAGACTAGGTTTCTGATCTCATTGCCGAAGGAATCTCAATGACATGGAATATTTTAGAAATGGGTGATTCTTGTTAAAAAAACCCAAAAAAAACACACAAAATCTGCCTGGCCTGTGACAGATATCGCACTGATTGGTTCTATGCTCTTCCTCAGGATTGGTGGACCTAGTGGAATCTAGCAAGTCAGTGGTCGTCGTTGGGAAACATTTATGTGGTGGCGCCACAGACATGGGCATTAGATGTGCCGTAGAGACTCTCACAGTTCCAAAAACCTGGCAACATCCCTCATCCTCTACCAGCAGCGGCGAACAGCAATCAGCAGATATAAACAGCACAAACCTTGAGCAGAATGAAACTCAGGCAGAGAGAGAAAGGTTAGAGAGAGTTCCAAACACCTACCAACATTCATCATTTACTAAGTCTGAGAGTAACAAACAACTGTCAGCAGATTTGAATAGTGAAAAGATTAAACCTAATGGCAGTCAAGCAGAAAGGGAAGAGACAGCATTTTCAGAAAAACATTCATGTCCAGATAAAGTGAATCAAACATGTAGCACCACAGAAAGTGACTCTAGAGTCAGAACATTTGCAAGAAATATGAATGTACAAGGATGCAGTTCAAGTCACTGTATACAGTCTTGCCCCAAGGAAACCAGTTGTGAACATATTTCTAACCACACGATTGAGACACGCATACAGCAAGACATATTGTGTGGAGATGCTACAACATATACAGGAGATAAAGTGATGGATAGTAAAAGAAAGGAAAGTAGCTCTGTGCATTTGCCAAGTGAACAGGAGCCTCCTGCTAAAACGCTGAAACTGATTGACACAGAATGTGGACACACGTAAGTGGTTTACTTCAGAGATTGTCCTGTTCTTCAGAAAGCTTTGAACTTTTTTCTTTTTGGCCCTGTTGCTTACTACTGTGTTCTCTTTTATTTCAATGCTTTCATTATTCATTTTTCCGTAGCTTTGTTTTAATATCTTTTCTTTTTTTTTTTCCTTGCTGGCTTTCTTTTATTCTTTCTGTCTGTTTGTCAGCCTTTCCACCATTGACATTGTTACTTATAAGTAATTTACATTTAGAAAAGGAGCTAAGAGTAACTTCTGGTACATAACTTCTTACTTCTAGTATAGTCATACACAACAAGCCGTCTTGGGCTAAAGGAAGTGCAAACGATGACTAGATCAGAGTGGTTGATGGTACAGCTGACTCAACCTGTGATAACACTGGATTCATGGAACAACATAATCCTTAAATGGGTTAAAAAAAGTGGATTCATGGAACAACATGATCCTTATATGGATTAACAAAGTGGATTTATGGAACAACTAAATCCTTATATGGGTTATCAAAGTTGATTTATGGAACAACATGATCCTTTTATGGGTTAACAAAGTGGATTTATGGAACAACATGATCTGTATATGGGTTAACAAAGTGGGTTCATGGAACAAGATGATCCATATGTGGGTTAAAAAAGTGGATTCATGGAACAACAGGATCCTTATATTGGTTAACAAAGTTGATTCATGAAACAGCATGATCCAAGTATGGGTTAACAGATTTATAAAGCTACATGATCCTTGCATAAGTTAACTGTGAATTGATAGAACAACATAATTCTGCATGGGTTAACAATGGATTCATAGAAAAACATGATTGCTGCATGGGTTAAAAGTGGCTTCATGGGACACCATCATCGCTGCATGGGTTAACACTAATGTAGTTTTATTATTAGCCAGTGAACTCCTGATGAGTCACTTTAGCAAAGCACTTGATGATAAGTAACATTTATAAACCTCATATGATATGAACATTGAGTCAGCAGTAACGTTGTGGTCTCATTCTATGATCTGTCTGGTTAGGCTGCCAAAGGGCATCATGATAGCTCTCTGCTGCCACCACCGATGCACTTGGGACACGTACATAGGTCAAGAGTTCATGGCCGCTTGTGGAATATCCCCTCAGGAGTTTGACCTTTTGACCAGATTGAGTAGCTGGGCGACCTGTGCCAAGGTTACAGGTATGTTGTGTAATATCGAAGCTGAGTGCTGCTTGGTCAAATAATGATGTCATTGTCCAGTTGAGAGTAAATCCGGCAAATAGTAGTAAATCCGGCAAATAGTAGTAAATCCGGCAAATAGTAGTAAATCCGGCAAATAGTAATGTGGTTTCTCTTAATGGTATCCCACTCCAGGACATGGAGTCGTACACCTATTTGGGCAGTAGTGTAGATAAAGATGGGGGAACTAATGGAGATGTTAACTCTTTGAGTCCCAACGAACGCATCATACGTTCATAGGTTACTGCCTAGAGGCCCAATGAACGCATGATGCGCCGATTTCACGTCTCTTTTGACTACCCCTTGGGCCTGTGATGCTAAACCCTCTGGGACTCAAAGAGTTAAAATACAAAAGGCATGAGGAGCTCTTTCATAACAGTGGGAAATTTGTGGAGGTCAAGAGAAGTTAAAAGTTATACTGAAGTTAAAATTGTTAATTCAAATGTCAAATTAGTACTGTTGTGTGGAGAAACTTGTAGAACAACTTAGGCAATTACTAATAATCTACATACATTTATTAACTGGTGCCTGCACAGAATAAATTGAATTAAATGGTATGATAGAATCACTAATGTTGAGCTCTGGGAGAGAACTGAACAATTTCTAGTGGACCAATAGGTGAAGAAAAGATGCTGGCTTCGAATAGGACACGTGTTGAGAAAACCTGAGAACAGTATAACTAGACTGTCTTTGCACTGGAACCCATATGGGCATGGAAATAAAGGAAGACCAAAAAAAAAAAAACACATGAAAAGGACGCTAGACAGTTGAAGATTGGGAGAATATGGGATAGCTGCATTCAATAGATAGTGAGGTAGATAACTACTTGATTTGAGTTGGGTGAGAGCCTATGCTCTGTGGGGGGATAGGAAGCAGAAGAAGAATAATCATTTGGTTGTGCTATTATGTTTCACATAGGGGTGCAATTCACCTTTTTCTTCGTTCACTCTCACACTTGGTGGTGAATTGACATATGACAAGCTAAATATGAGGGCCTTTTGGTCATTGAAGTAAAAGCACTGTACCCTTTTTTGATCCTTGGAGGGTGCTGAGTATAAGTTAACACTATTGGCTGTTTTCTCACTTGCACAAATGTTTAGAAGGTCAGGATATGAATACATTAGCTATTAATATTTAGGGGGCATGGGCCCCTTTGAGCCCAGTAGGTTTTCTGAAGCTAAATTAATGTTGATTTTCCTGTAAGCCACAGTGATAGAGGTCAGGGGGTCACAGCATGAGTTACCAGATACTTATGTTTTTAGGCCCTTAAGGAATGTATTACATTTACTGCTCCCGCATGTTTATGTTTATTGATTACCACTATATATATTTTTTATATTTCAGGGTGTGGGGGGGGGGGGGGGGGTGGAGGAAGGGGAGGATGTAGATCAATAAATTAGTAATGAATTTATTAGTGACCCATGTAAAACATTTTGATGTTTTTAAAGGGTTGTTTTTCTGGAATTTCAACGGGGGGTCATAACCCATTTCTCTAATGTTTCCGGGGAGAGAGGGTTAACCAGACAACCAATTTAATGATTGATTGTAGCCCTGGTAGTTATGTGTGAATGGTCCCTTTTAAACAGGCTATTTTATTCTCACTCTGGACAGTGCTGACTGTGGGCCCCCAGGTGATATACATGAGAACCACTTCTAAACAGAACTGGTTAGTTTATACATTTCACAATGGCTGTCACTGTTTGGTCTGACTTGGGTTTTTTTTTTTCCATTTGATTTGTTGTATTTCAGCAAAGTCAATTAGGAGCAAAAACAATGAGATTTCAGTTCAAGGAAAATCTGAACCAGGTGACCTGATTCGTTCCACCGACCAGCAAGATATTGTGAAAGCTGATCTGAAAGCTGCGGATCATCAGACTGATGACCTTATGAACTTAGATGCAAGGTATGTCGCGGAACATTGACTACTCTTTTTCCTGATGTTTTGCAATGGAGCTTCAGCCCTCAAGCATTGCACTCCAGTTCCTTTGTGAGCTTGTTTTTCATAATGTTAAGCATAGCGTAGATTTCCCCTAGATGTTTTAAAACTATGGCTGACTTTCCTGTGTTGGTTTCAGGGCCCCCATTGGAGGGAAGGGCGAGGGGGGGGGGGGGGGGGGGTGTGACCGGAGTAGACCCATTGTTTTCCTAACAAGCATGTCAGAAGTGTCGACTAATTAGGGGATTCCTTCAAAGTCGGAGTGCATCTGCCCAAGAAGCAAGGAACCAACAGTGTGCATACAAATTAGCCAGATAGGCTATCTTTAGAAAAACGGTCCCAAATTATCGAGGCCGAAAATATACCCTAACAGGGCCTTAGTCACGTGTCAATTGCTCACTTCCGGTGACTTAGATTGCGCACTTCCAGCGACTACCGCCACCACCGAGAGTATCTCCCATGCCGCTACGCGGGTCGTGGATTAGGGCTAAACTAGATGGCTGGGATTCACGAGCAGCAGCTACCGCATGCTCGTATTTTATTTGCTCGTGAGTCCCAGCCATCTAGTTTAGCCCCGATCCACGCCGGGCGTAACGGCTTGGAAGATACTGATATTTACCATCGCCCATCAATTGACGGTATGGGACTAGCATATTCTTTACTTCTGCATTATCCTTAAAATAGTGGTTGGCATCAAGTCGTGTGGTTTACAGCTAAGGTGGGATATCTGCACCTTTCACCCCAAAACATCCAATTTACAGCAAACGCAAGTCTGTCCACCCCCCCCCCCCCCCCCCCCCCCACAAACCCCCCCCCCCCCCCCCCCCCCCCGCGCCCCTGCTCACCCACCAACAACAAAATCTCGGAGCCATGGAACCCCCACATGGAACCCCCACAGGGATGATCCGGCACATATTGTGGATATACCTCAAGACATGGAAGTGAATCCTTCACTCACTTTTTGTCCGGGGGTTAATCTTTACTACCATGGTGGTAATCTTCTTGCTTAAAGATTAACAAGATTAACCCAATATTTCTTCTCTTTTTATTCTTCTCATTGTATTCTTAGTATTCTTGAGCTGTAGACTACTTTGTAAAGTTTTTTTGTCTACGTCCTGAATTTGGTCTTTTTCCTGAACCAGAGTTTTGCGTGCACATCCATTTTACTGACCTGGCTTCTTTGTATGCAAGCTGTTGGTTCCTTGCCTCTTTAAACTTTCCGTCCACAAATGAGGGGAGGAGGGATGCAACAGCAAACCATGGCCGGAAGCAAATAACTAGCCAAGACTAACATGATTGGCCTGTCTATCCCCCGTATTGGACTGGAAGCTTAGAGCAGCTTAGAGTATGTAAATGCTTAATACCTCACACCGCTAGGGGGGATCTACATTTTGAAATTGAATTCAGCAAGGGATTATCATTGCCATTCATCGATCACAGTTCCTGTGTGGGTTCCAGAGCTCCATTGTGGGAGAAACAAGACAACAGACCCACTGCACTCCTAACAAGCAGGGCATACAAGTCAACTATAGGGGGGGCTTTCTTTAAAGTCGAAGTACGTCTGCCTGGCAGGCGAGAAACAAATAATCTGCATACAAATAAGCCAGATCCGTAAAATGGATGCGCACGCAAAACTCAAGTTTTGAAACATGACTAAAGTCCAAACAACCAGAAATTCTATCGAAGTTTACAGCCGGTGAGCCTGAAGACGAAGAGGAAAAAGACCTATCCTTGTACATAAAGTGTTTGAATTTTACAATTTTAAACTACAATGATTTTAACTTTGTCATTAACTTATCCCCAGCAAAACCCTCAGAGAACAGCTCAGTGTTTCAGAAAGGGAGGAGATTGGCCGCAAGTGCAAGCGGATTATTGACACTGGCCGGTTACATTATCTGAGGTCAAAGGGCATGAAGTGTTTTTTGCGGCAGTACATTGATGAAGAACTAACTCCTGAAAATGTGGTGTTGATAGCTCAAGCTCCAGATTCGTGAAGCGGGACTGTTTTAAAGATCCAGACATTGACGACGCTTTCTTCTTCTGCTCTTTATCTCCCAGTGGAGAATAGGCCCATAATTAGGATGTTCAGGTTCATCCTATCCTTTGCCATTTCATGCACCTCACTCCATGTCCTTCCTGTATGTTTCATCTCATCTCTAATTTTTTGCTCCATTTATTTTGGGGTCTCCATTTGTTTACCATCTCTGCCAGCCTTCCCACAGTTCTAACATTCCAACTGTAAATTATGGAGATTGTCCTAGGTGAACAGAACCTGCTGGCCAAGTGGTTTAAGCACTGGGCTTTCAACAAGAGGTTTGATCCCCAGTAAAGGTGAAGAATTTTGTTTGTTGGAGGCAAGAATAAAAATCATAACCTGCACAATTTGCGCTGATGCATCATATCATCCCTGCCTGACTGAAGTCCTGTCGAATACCACGTTAAAAAGTGATCTATTCAGGCAATAAATTCTGAGGTATAAGGGAATGCTACATTTTGTAAAACAGCCCTTTTTTAAAGCCAAAAATTAAGAAATACAAATATTCTAAATGCATTCCATGTATAAGTTGACCCCAATTTTAAACTGAATACAGTTTGGAAAAATATATTGTCTTATACACGAAAAAATATGGTAAGTCTGTAGTCTCAACCTGTCAGGCTGTTGGTTCCTCCCCTCGCGTGTGGATGGGAAAATATATTGTTTTATACACGGAAAAATATGTTAAGTCTGTAGTCTCAACCTATCTGGCTGTTGCTTCCTGTGTGGATGCACTCCGACTTCCAAGGAACCATTAATAATTAGTGGACTTTTTTGACATGCTTGATAGAGAATCTATGTGGTCTGCTTGGGTTTTGCAAACGCTCTTCATTTTTTTGGGCTGCCCGGTTAGATTCCAGCTGCATCAGACCATTTTATATTTTGATAGTGATATCGTGAGCCAGCTGTTGAGCAGTAACAAACTTCTTAACGTAAATTGTCCTAATCAAATAACAAATAATATCCCCCCCCCCCCCCCAAGGCTGAGGG